CACACTGGGGAGGCCGTTGCTGCCGGGGTAGCCAAGAGTGCCATGCCCATTGAGGGCAAGGCTGTACTGCTATTTGGAGGGGCTGCTGCAGTGGCCATCCTAGCTGTGGCAGTGGGAGTTGCATTGGCTCTAAGGAAGAAGTAACAGCTTTTCAGACGAGAAAGCAGACAAAAGGACCTGTGGCTTTAGTTGTATTCACTGGAACATAGACTGCCAACGGCTGGCTGGGCACTGGCAGGACACTGGGGGAGCTGGCTTGACACAGAGTGTTCACACTGGCCTGGTTGTCATCCTGAGGGCCTTGGTGCACACCATATTCGGCAGGGTAAGAGTGCAGTTCCCGTCTAGGACAGGCCTGAGCACCCTTACCTCTCAGTAATTCTCTGTAGGAGGCTGCCCTGTGCGCGTAATGATCTGAAACAGCCCTGGCTTCCATCTAGACGCCAGTGGCACCCCACTCTAGGAAGGACAGCCAAAAATGTCTCCTACTTTGCCAAATGTCCACTGTGGGCAAAGTCATTCCCTGTTGAGGGCCACTGCTTTAAGGGATAGGGTTCAATTAAGAGAATGTGGGGGAGGAAGCTGCAGCTGGGGACAGCCAGCTGTTCATCCTAGACGAGAAAGCAGTTTCTCGTCTTTGCCGGTTTCCCATTCTGCAGTGTGAGGTGCTCTTCCATTGCACCACCTCTCAGGTACTGCAGCACAGTGTGGCTCACCCTGCACCCTTCCCACCCAGCAAACCCCCGAAGCCTCCCTGGCTCCATCTTTCAAAGATGCTGCTGCTAGGAACTGCTTAAAAGATAAATACCCAGGCCAGGTGTGGTGGCACCATCTGTAATCCCAGTATATAGGAAGCAGAGGCAAGGAGATTTAGCACGAGTTCAAAGCTAGCCTGGTGTACATACTGAGTTTGAGACCAGCCAGGACTGCATGCTGAAACCTTGTTCCAAGAGATTAATGTGTTAGAGCTGTATAGGAGACTTAAGGTGCCCTAGTCTGATTGCCAGTGCAGGCTACAGGCTGTGGTCATTGTTCTTAGAGGCAGGAAGGCAGTCTACACAGCCTGTCCAGGTCTGCTGGACCTCTTACACATGTGGCCAACCACCCCACGTGTCCATGACACCTGATGGCATTTGCATCATCTAGGACCCTGGGTTAGTGTTTCCCAGTACCTGACCTTGGTCTTTGGAACACCATCAGCTTCCCTGGGGGTCTCCTGCCATGTAGAAAGCAGTGTCATTGTTTGGCTACAGAAAGTTGGAGCATAACCCTTATTCAATGTAAATCATTGAAATAAATGATAAAATTTTATCATTTACTATTAGGTATCACTTGTGAAAAGTGGGACAGAAACTTGAATTTAAGACCAAGACTGCTGCTCAGGTGCTGTTTGGTCTTCAGAGTTCAAGAGGAGACCCCTTGGCCTGAACTCTGGTCAACCCAACCCTAGGGTGACAGACCAAGAGGCCCTATGCACTCACTCACCTGTACTTAGTGGGACTCAGCAGGGTCTTCTGTCATTTGGCTGACCCCATCCCTCAAGGAGGGGTGGAACCTGACCCTGTCATGCCTGGGGGCCACAGTGCCACCTGCAAGGCTCACGTGCTTGGTAAGAAGTCTTCTCAGATTTAACTTAGTCATGTAACATTACACTTCTTAGATTCTGAAATTTATAATAAAAATAATTTTAACTACTCTGATCACCAAGAGCTGATGTTTTAAATATGCTTGATTTTTAAAAATTATTTTGTAAAGAAAACTATCCCTTAAAAAGTACTTGAAAGAGCGGATCAGGAAGAGATTTGAGCATGTTTGTGTCCTGTCGCTATGTCGCACTGTGATGCCCGTTGCTGTCCTGTGGGTGTAAGGGCTCTAGTGTGACCAGAGGTGGTGGGAGTATGTCCTGGTTCTCACAGCTCAGAGACTGGTGGGTTGCCTTACCTTGATTTTTATTTTTTTTTCAAAAGAGTTTTCTTCCAGCGTTAACCCTTTGGAACTTTGGGTTCTCACTGGTGTAGCCCATTTAAGGGCTCACTGCCACATCCAGGTGGGAGTGGCTAAGAAGTCTATTATAGGATGGTTGTATCTGCTCTCCACCAAGGCAGGGACAGGGAAGACGTGGTACTGTGCTAACTGCTTGTTGCTGTGTTTTACTACCCCATGAACACTAACCTGGTTTGCCCAACTATCTTTTTCTGGGTGATGGTAAGTAGGTGACTTCCCATTGGTTCTCTCTACACGGAATCTCATTCCTGGGAGATAGGCATGTTGTATTTCACTGCCCTCTGCTTGGCAATGGGACAGAGTAGCCACCACAAGTGTTGCTGTACTTCCTAGGTTTGCCGTTGCTCTAAATGGATAAAAATAAATAGGCAGTCTACCCATGTAGCCTAGGCTGGTCTTGAACTTGTAGTCCAGCCTCAGGACTGAGATTATAAGCATGTGTCACCACACCTGGTCTTTCTGTCACATTAAAATTAATTCTCAAGTCCTTCTGGGGACTGACAGGAGGCTGTTCTTGCCCCTGGACTAAAGATTCAGCACGTATTCAGCCTGACTGGGGCGCACAGCATCAGAATCGAGTCCCCACAGCTCTGCTGTTGCTCGTGAACCAGAGTTTTACTAGTTCTGGAGATTGTCGCCTGTGTGTGCACCTCAGCCCTTCCTAGAATTCTTAACTGCTCCATTCTGCGAAACGATTGGTGCTCACTTAGCCAAAATCAGTGAGGTTTTCCTGACAGACACACCAGGACTAAAGAATACCAACTTAATCTTCTGTACTGACGTGGCAAATCTGAGTCGAGTGCCTTAGCAGGAGGGCCTTGCATGATCATCACTGCCTCTAGAAGGTGGTCTAGATCAGCGGTTCTCAACCAGTGGGCCGACACCCCTTGGGGAGGGGTGTTTATCAGCTGTCCTGCATACCAGGGGTTTACAATTCCTCTCAGTAGTAAAATTAGTTATGAAGTAGCAGCAGAATAATTTTATGGTTGGAGGTCTCCTCACAATACGCAGTGTCACGGCAGTGGGAAGGTTGAGAATCACTGCTCTAGAAAAACATGCCTGTTTGGGTTCACATGTACCTCACCCAGAGCATCCCCGCCCCTCCTGCCTGTGCCCAGTCCCTTCAGGTATCATTTGTCCCAGGGAGAGTGAGGTTCTCTGAGCCTGGTTCTTGGAATCACAGCTGCCACTGCTTGTCTTGGCCTCTGTGCTAAGTTCCCCAGTCAGAGAACACAGTGTCTGCACTGCCTTTTGCTCTGAAGGGGAGATGTGGGCATTGAGCTTTTAAGAGCTACTTATAGAAACTATGCTTTATAGCTAAGAAAAAGTCCTTTCCTTACTCTTATTTTAGGTCTTCATGAGCTCTCTGCTCACTAGTATGATCAGCCTTGGTCTGTCTGTGTGTCTGTCTGTCTGTCTCTCTCTCTCTCTCTCTCTCTCACACACACACACACACGAGATCTTAGCAGCAGGACAGCACTAAGAACTTTCATTTGTGAGATGGCTATGGCCTGCCATGGTAGTATACCTTCTGAGTGAGCTTTGTGGGGGTCGCTGCCCCTTTTGCTGATATTGATTGAGCACTTAATACACACCAGAGGCTAGGGGACTTTCACTCCGTCAGGTCCTGGGAGCTGCTCACTCTAGACTTCCCATGTTAATGAGTAGGAACCCACCCAGAACTCACGGTTCATGTGGCCTAGCTTATCAGAGGCAAGGCAGCGAGTGAAAATTCCTGACTCCAGGCCCAGTGCAGCGTCCCTTTAGCCACTGGGTGAGCGCCCCAGGATCACCCTGTGGCGGGTCTTGATGTTCAGTAGCTGTATTTAATGTGTGTTTCCATAAACAAAGCCGGACTGTCGGACACAGCTGTCATCCCAGGCATGCAGTGTGACAGATGAAGGCAGCCACTTGACACCTCTCTCCCCTTGGCCGTTTTTGATCCCTCTGGTCCTTTCCCCTGTGGTGACCATCAGTCCAGGGTGGGCATATTGAGGGATATGGGGACACCTAGAGGATTTTGACACTCAGACTCAGGAATGACCAGACAGTCTTGCATCTTGCTCACCTGACAAGAGTGCTTCCCAGTGAGATCCTGCCACAGAACTGCTGCGTCCATCAGAACCGACTCTGGTTCTACAGCCGCAGAGCTGGAAGCTGTTGTTAAAAGATGAACACGCTGCCGTCTTCACACAGCCCCCCACCGAGCCCCAGCTCGGCTCGCCCCACTTTGCCCTTCCCACACTCATGTTTACACGAGGCCCCAGCCCCTCAGCTGCTTCAGTGTCGCTCAGGGCAGAACTGTCTCAGGGACACTTGGCCGGGCCACGGCCCAAGTCGGAGCAGCCAGCTCGGGATCCTCCCGTTTTCTCCTCTAAGAGGGTGTCAGACCTGCTTCTGGGTGTATCCCTCCAGCAAACACTTTGACATGAAAAGCTATTCATTTGTCTATATATGTGTGTGGATGCATGTCACAGTTCTCTCCTTTCACCATGGGGGTCCCCACATTTGGTGGAAGGCACCTTTACCCATGGCTATCTTGCAGGACCACGTTTTGTCATTCTGAGATGACAGGTTTGTGGAGGCCTTTCCCAGGATGTGAGCTATACCTTCCCTTAGTGAGGTCTGGTACCGTGTACATGGACCATTTGTTGGCCAGCACAAAAGGAAAAGAAACATTTTTTCCCCCCCTGAACCTGTATTTTCCCTGCTCTTGTAATCTGTCTTTCTTCCTTCATATTAAAAGTGCCTCTTTCTCCTAACCCCTTGATTGAGCTCAGTTTGTTACTGACTCTAGTTCTTGGCGCCCCCCCCCCCCAAAGTACCGGAATGGTAATTATTAACACAGCAGAGTCAGGCAGACATAACTGTTATGTCTGTCCAGTGTGGATGAAGTCCTGGGTTCCATTCCAGCACCGCATGAACTGGGCATGGAACACATACCTGTAATCCCAGCACTCAGGGGAAGGAAGACAGTATTCATGGCCATACGTGGCTAAGAGTTAAAGTTCAGCCTTTAATACATGGGATCCTATCTTTTAAAAAGAAAATTAGTATTGGGTTGTGGTGGTGATGCATGCTTTTAATTCCAGTACTTGGGAGGCAGAGGCAGGTGGACCACTGAGTTCGAGGCCAGCCTGGTCTACAGAATTAGTTCAGGACAGACAGGGCTGTTATACAGAGGAACACTGTCTCAGAAAACAACAACAACAACAAAAAAAAAAACAAAAATAAATAAAGATTAGGATAAGCATTTGATTCAGGTAGCATCATTTCCAGTGTGCTTATCAGCTCTGACTTGCTCAATTCATTACTGCGAATTGTCTTGGCTCCTTTCCCATGCTGTTGTCTACTTTGTGCCCAAGCTTCTTTCTCTATCAGGAAGTGACAAAATTCAAGTCTACAAACTGTGCTTCCAGACAGTAGCAACTTCTTGGGGGAAACTCCCTGGAGGTGACAATAAAATGAGCTTTTCTGATAACTGGTGACTCATGGTTTTGTCCGCTACTGTTGGCCTAGGAGGATTACTTCAGGTAATGTTTTGTAGTCTCTTAAAGTGCACGCATTCTTGGTTTGCCTTAGTCACGATCCTGCCATTCAAAACCACACCTGAGTTCCCAGTAGCCACAGCCAGTGAAGTCACTGTGATCCCAAACACCTGTGTTTATGCTGGGTCCTGAAGGTCAATGGGAATGCTGTGACCTCTGATGCACTAGATCACCTAGGAGATGTTGCTAAGCATTATCCTTTAGAGAAGAAAGCCTTTTATTTTGAAGAAACAAATTTCTATCACTCATATCAATTCACATACTTTTAGAACAGAATGGAAAATATTCTCTGAATTAACATCATCTCTCAGTTATACCCACACAAGGATCATGTTACTAAAGAAAAATTCCGCCAATTTCCATGATACACCAGGCCGTCATGGCTGCAATGAATTGAAGATTGGAACACTTAACAGGTAGTGGTGGCTCATGCCTGCAATTCCAGCATTAGGCAAGTTAGCAGGAGAATCACCTGTGTTTTAGGATACACAGTAAGACCTTATCTCTGAAATACAAAAGAGGGGACATTTGGCTTTGACACATGGAATCTTTCCAAAACGTTGGCCCGCTGAGAACGAATGGCAATTTTGCTTTACAACCGAGAATGTCTATCAGATGTGACTGGAAATTACCTCTGCCAACTTGATCAAGATGGTGGCCAATGCACAGGGGAGATGACGAGGCTACTGTTTGGATTACTGGCTGCTGTTTTAGATCTCTCCTGTTATTTCCGGTTGACTCTGGTATTTCATTTTCTTGTGTAAATGTGTTTCCTAGCAAACCTGATTGTAGTGACTGAGTTTGTGTGCACAACTCAAGTTTGTTCCCACTGGGATAGAAATCTTTAGAAAAACAGTCCCTTTTGAAACAGCTAAACCCTTGCATATGGGTGGGACGGGGAGGGGTAGTTTGAGAACAGAGTCATAGACTCAAACCTTATTGCCATTCAGCTTTTACAAAGGAAGGCTATGGCCGTCTGTGCACTGGGTGGAGTTCTCACTCCGGGGCCAGGCACCCCTGCTAGCACTGTCCCAAAACAGAAGCCCATCTGCAGGGCGAAGACAGCGACCCAGGCTGGCCTCTCATGAACAGTAACTTCACAGTATAAGTAAGTCTTTCTGCCTTACAACCTGCTTTTGAGTTTAATTTTCAAGTGGGAACCCGTACAGCTGATTAGACGAAAGAAACATGAAGCGGATGCAGGAGCTGGCGCAAGCCCTTCAGATACGCGCACTGGCATCTTCATTAGACTAGCTCAATGGAGGAACTGAGTCACCAGCCCAAACACTGTCCTGAGAATAGGGAGGCAGCTATTATCTGGGACCTGTCTTCTCTCCAGCGTGTGTTTCCACGGCCAAGTTTCCTCTGGAGTCTGCCAGCCACTCTTCTGCAGGTCCCTCAGTCCATCTCCTAAGGAGAGAGCAGCAGCAGTCAGTCTCAGGACTCGGTGCCCTAGAACACGAGCACCAGACTCTAGCTGTGTGTGGCTCAGCAAACCGCTGGCCTCACAGCAGAGACCTGGGCTCCATCCCCGGCACCACTGACCACATGTGGTGCGCTGTAGTCCCAGCATTCAGGACGCTGAGGTAGCAAGAGTACCTTGTATTCCGGGTCATCTTCGGATAGAGGTGGATTCTGCCCCCCCCCCAAATAAATAAACAACCCCCTCCCTTCGGCTTCACTGAGACCCTACCTCAAAAAGATAGGTAGAGCAAGACAAAAGGAGACACCTGAAAACGACCTCTGGCTTCAACAGGCACCCACACGCAAGCTCACGCTCATGCGCACACCACATACATACTTAAGCTCAGGTTTGTGACAATAAAGAGCAGCCCAAGGGAGCTGGAGCCCTTGGCCATCTTCCCTCTCACTCTGTCTCCCCACCGTGTTTGCGTCCCGCAGTAGTGTGAACCAGCCTTTGCCTCTCATCCCAACAGTCTGCAGTGTGTGTGTGGGGAGGGTGAGAGGGACTTCAGCAGGGGCTCTGGCTCTGCTGGATTCCCAACAGTCAAGAGAAGAGGGTGAGCAAGTAGGGAGGGACCACGGGACTCCACAAAAAGCCAGGGGCTGGTGTCACCGGTCCTTACATTTCTAAGCAAGTTCCTCACACAGGTGAATAAATTCTGGTTAATAAAGGTCACTGTCGTGCGGAAGACATCATGGAGTAAGGATGGTGCATGCTTGGCCACATTTCTGGCCAACAGCAAGGTCATTATCAGCATGGCCTTTTCATTCTCCATGTCTCTAGGGAAAACCGTCTTCATCTCATCCAGGGCTCTGGCCAGGCAGTTCCGTCTGTCCTGCACGTGAAAGAAGACAGTTGACAGATGTTCTTCCCTCAGAGGGAACAGACCAGGCAGCGGGAGACAAGCCTTTCAGAGGGCAGCTCTGGTGAAACAGCCAAGAGCACGGAGCAGAGGGAAGTCAGTCCCCACAGCCGTGGAGAGCGGCATGCGGCAGGCACTTGCCCCGCGTGTTTACCGAGCAGCCTGTGCACACGACAGAGGCGCTTCCTGCAGTCAGTTCTTATAGAACTGCTGTTCAGGAGGCTGCCTGAGGCTCACCTTACTGCTGTCGGCTTTAGGGGCTACGTGTTGTCTTTCCTTCAAGTGGGAAAGGCAGACAACAGACCATGAGACCTGAAGAAATGCTCAGAGGTAAAGGAGCATATACTGCTCTTCTAGAGGCCCAGTTCAGTTCCCAGCACCCATATGCAACGGCTCACGCTGGCCTGCAACTCCAGCTTGAGGACCGATACCTCTGTGCACACCTGCAAGCGTGTGCATGTACTCACACACAAGGCTCACACAAGTGTGTGCGCGTACTCACACACAAGGCTCATGCAGACACAAAATTAACTTCCATTTTTATTTTAAAGGTAGCCAGGAGGTGGTGGCACACATCTTTAACCCTAGCACTCAGGAGACAGAGGCAGTTCAAAGAGGCCAGCGTGGTCTACAGAGTGAGTTCCAGGATAGCCAGGGCTACCACAGATAAACCGTGTCTTCAAAAAACAAAATAAAACCAAAAAAGCAGCATGGAGCTGGGCGGTGGTGGCGCACGCCTTTAATCCCAGCACTCGGGAGGCAGAGGCAGGAGGATCTCTTGTGAGTTTGAGGCCAGCCTGGTCTAGAAGAGCTAGTTCCAGGACAGGAACCAAAAGCTACAGAGAAACCCTGTCTCAAAAATCAAAAAAAAAAAAAAAAGCAGCGTGGGGCAGAGATCTTCAAGTTCTGTGGCTCACATTCAAAGTCTACCCTTGGAGTTCCAAGGCTGGTCACAGATGTGTCTATGTTGGGTGACAGCCGCAGGAGAATGAGGGCAGCAGAGGGAGTGCCAACACAAAGACAGGCTGCTTAGAGGCACAACAAACACAGACGGGGTGGGCACCCACGATTTCAGCTGGAACACAAGTTCCCTCCTCCATCCCTTCCAGAGGCGGGTATTTCAGTCCCGGGGTTTGGTATTCTCTCTCTTCTTTGGGAAGGACAGTGCTGAGGATCCAGCTTTGGGTCCTTCACAGTACTGAGCAAGAGTAGAAATCTTGTCCGTTTCTGTGTGCTAATCAGAACCACAGAGCCAAGCAGAGGAGCAGGCTGCACTGCCACCCTGGGGAAAACGACATCAAGGTCTCCACTGGTGTCTTCATCTGACTCTCCAAAGCGAAGACCGAGCAGGGACCGGGCACCTTGACCCTCTTTCTGGAGGCTTCCCCCTAAGTTCTGGACTCTGACGGATGAGCTTCTAAATCTAAACTGACTGATCCTTAGAGACCATGCTGGTGGCAGTCAGGGGCAGGACTCACTTCCTCAGAGACTGGCTCTGCACAGGTGTCCTACACTCCCCAGTGCCCTAGAAGAGCTGGGGCCAGGATCACACACGTACCTCCTCTGACAGTGCTCTAGAAGAGCTGGGGGCAGGCTCACACACGTACCTCCTCTGACAGGCCGGCGTTCATGAACTGCTCTGCCAGCTGCCTCACCAGTGTGGGCTGGATTCTGTGGTCCATCTCATCGCCGACCTGGGCAAGACGTCGGGCAATGTTCTGAATGGCTGACTCCTGACTTTCAGAATCTGAACATTCAGGCAGCAAACACAAACAAGACTCAGTAATGGTCCTGTCAACAGCTTCATGCCACTTCCTACCTCCACATGTGCCCTAGTGGGGACCAGAGATGAGCCTGGGACCAGCCTGGCACTAGGGAAGGGGCTCTGTAGTTAGTGGTGTCTGAGCCCCGACTCTGCTGCACGCTGCCCAGAGACCAAGCATCCTCCAGACCTCCTCACAGAGCAGGCATGTCGTTTCCCAGTCCTCTCGTGTAAACGCCCACACACTGTCAACTGGGACTGTCCTGCCCTGCCTCCTCTCAAGTGCCCCTTCTGCAGCTTCCCGATGCTGCCCTGCCTCTCCACTGCCCAGTCCTATTGTGCGGTCTCTGCCCAGGCTGCTCCCTTTTTCACTATGTACTTCTTTCTAGTTTTGTCATCTGACACAACTGCTTATATATAAGCTTCTGAAAAACTACAATTCTGTTCAGATTAATTTATTTGTGTACGAGGGTTTTGCCTGAATGTATGTCTGTGTACCACTTATATGCCTGGTATCCATGGAGGTTAGACGAGTGATGTGGGATGCCCCTCTGGATGCTGTGAATATGTTTTAATTACCATTGGTTAATAAAGAAGCTGTTTCAGCCAAGGGCTTAGCAGAGTAAAGCCAGGAGGGAAATCCAAACAGAGGTGAATAGAGAGAGTAGGCAGAGTCAGACGCCACGTAGCTGCTGAAGGAGACAGACACTGGAACCTTACCAGTAGGCCACAGCCTCGTGGTAATACATTGATTATAACAGGTTAATTTAAGACATAAGAGTTAGTAAGAAGCCTGAGCTAATAGGCCAAACAGTGTTGTAATTAATATAGTTTCTGTATGAGTCCCAGTGGCCAGGAAATGAATAAGCAGTCTCTGTTTACAGATGAGGGCATTGGATCCCCTGGAACTAGAGTTGTGAGGCACCATGTGCAGGAGGGAACTGAACCTGGGTCCTCTGCAAGAGTAACAAGTGCTTTACTTATTGATTTATTTTTTAGATTTATTTATTTATTATGCATACAGTGTTCTGCCTGCATGTATACCTGCATGATGGTGGAAGAGGTCACCAGATCTCATTACAGATGGTTGTGAGCCACCATGTGGTTTCTGGGAATTGAACTTAGGACCCTTGAAAGAGTAACCAGTGCTCTTAACCTCTGAGCCGTCTCCCCAGCCCGTAACAAGTGCTCTTAATCACAAGTCACCTCTCCAGGTCCTGAAAAGGTAATTTTAAAATCTTTTTTTGTTTACTGTCTGACACCCAACACTAAGAACAATGCGTGAGTGGCGTATGGTTGGTGCCCAGTAAGCAAGTTCATGAGTGAATGAATGAATAAATGACAAACTTGTAAGTAGTTCTTAAAAAGTACTCAATAAATATCACTGGAGTTTTTGTTTGAACCCCACTAGCTTCTTATTTATCCCGACAGGGACATGCTCCCTCTCAGCCAGCTGCCCAGCTCTCGCTCACAATGCAGGCTCACCCTGTATCTCAGAACCAGGAACTGGCTACAGTAAGCTGGGTCCTCAGGGGACTCAATCGCTCTAGCACTCAGCACACGCCTGGCCCTTGCTCGGCCGATGCTCATCAAATGACCAGCACACAGCTCTCCCACGGCCTTTCCAGGGCTCACTCACTTTGGCTTAAGGCACAGTTCCCTGTGATTTAATGTCACTATTCCTCCTGCTCACTCATTTGTGAAGCTCCTACTCTGCCCCTCTTCCAAGTCCAATCAGACTTCTCCAAAGCCTCAGTGAGACCAAGGGTTAGCCCCGGCATCACTTTCGCTGACATCCTTAGGGCTCAGCCAGGCTTTGACATCGGAAGGCGTGGGCTGAGCTAGAAAGAAGCAGGGGAAGGACTCACACAAGTTTCAGGCTGGCCAGGGTAACACAGTGAGACCCTGTCTCAAAAAATTAATGAAGGCAGGGGAGGGAGAGGCTAAACCAGCTACCATTCTCCTCACAACCCTCAAGGGCAGCACAGCCTCTGTGCTAAGATCAGGGAAGCTGAGCTTAGCAACAGGTACCAAGTGTAGTGTGAGAGGTTGGCTATCTTTTGTTTGCTTGACTGCTTGCTTGCCAGTGACAAACCCAGAGCCATTCTCTACCTCTGACTTACATCTCCAGCCCCTGGCCTGCAGGGTGGGAAAGTCCCAGTCTAGGGCTTGGAGGTCCTGGGAGGCCTACAGAGCAGTGATTCCAACCAGGATTAAAAATCAACTGAGGGCCGGGCGGTGGTGGCGCACGCCTTTAATCCCAGCACTCGGGAGGCAGAGGCAGGCGGATCTCTGTGAGTTCGAGGCCAGCCTGGTCTACAAGAGCTAGTTCCAGGACAGGAACCAAAAGCTACGGAGAAACCCTGTCTCGAAAAATCAAAAAAAAAAAAAAAAAAAATCAACTGAGGGTCAGTGAGTTGGCTCAGAGGCACTTGCTGCCAAGCCTGACAACCTGAGTTCGAACCCCGGGACATACACGGTGGAAGGAATGAGCCAACTCTGACTCTACCCGTATGCTAGGGCATGTGCACACCCCCACACCCAGACAGACACGAATTAAAAAACAAAAACCAAAAAAACCCAAATCACCCAGCAGTCTCCAGCCCAGGAACACACTGGTAGAGCAGAGCCCAGGGCTGAGGTCAGGGAAGGACAAAGTCTAGATGTGGCCCAAGGGATATGGGTTCAGCAGGGGGCGACAGCTTGGCTCAGTCCTGCTCCTGAAGCCCCAGCAGTTTGATTTGAGGCTGCTTAGTCTGCTGTGCCTTGGTTTCCTTATCTGGAAATGAGGGCCAGAATACCTCAGTGCTCCAGTCTTTAAGGTCATCTATCACATATGTTGTTAAGGTCATATATCACATAGGTTTCATAAAGGATGCAAAAATGACCATAAAGGCAGGAGTTTTTGCTGGACTGAGAGTTCAGCTAGCCCACACAAGGTCTTGTGCGGCTGTGTTAGAGTCGCTTGGAGGCCGGGACTAGACTAGTGATGTCCCAGACCTCCCAGATCTGAATGGCAGGAGGAATGACTTTGAAATTCCACAAACTGAAATAGTGGCACCTCTGGGTTACAAAATCTCCTCCACCTTCCAGTCTTTGGCTGCACTGTAACAGCTAGGGACTTATAGTAAAAAAAACAGGTCCCATTGTTGATCCAGAGAGGAGACTTGGGTCCACACCTGAAGAGAACTCAGGACTCATCAGAAGGAGAAACTTTCTAATTAGTCCCAAAACAGAGGGTAATGAGTTTTGGACCTGAGAGGGCACAATCAAGCACAGATCACAAGATGAGTCACATGACATGCACACATATAAGAACCTGACAATGCAGGGTTGGAGGCTGAGCCCCAAAGCCCCCTGTAACCTTTGTGGAGATCAGTAAAGCTTAGATGTGGGGTGAAGGGATTAGAATCCAGGCACACCTAGGCCCTGCCCCTTGGGAACCTGGCACAGTGCAATCACCCCTCTGCGCACGGCAAGCCATACCGACTGTACACAGGTACAAAGGTCCCCTTAAGAGACAAGTCCCGCTTGCAGGGAAGGGGGAGGGGTTACAACTCATGGGCAGGTGCCATCTTGGCTAAGGGCAGGCCGGATATCTTAACTGCCATCTTTACTAAGGATAGCCATGTGGCCAGTCACCCCTGTGCTACCCAGGGTGGGTGGCAACTGGGACAGGGAGGAGCCACAGACTTATGTGGCTCTGCCCCAACTAAGTGGTGCCTGCAACGGCCTGCCCCACATCCCCTCCACCCCAGGAGAGCAGTTACATGACCTGTCGCCAGCTGCCTTTACGCCTTGTCTGGTCTTATCTTTTACTTATATCTCTGTCCTTAATTTCCTGTTACAATGACTATGTGGTGTGTTTGTGTGATGGTACACCTTGACAGGGCCTGTTGAGGTGTTCATTTGACACAGGGACCCCACCTATACACCTGCTGCCTGCTAACTCTCTTGCTCAGTATACATGTGACTTTTGATTTAACTTTATGTGAGTCGGGCAGTGGTGGCGTGTGCCTTTAATCCCAGCACTCAGGAGGCAGAGGTAGGCGAATCTCTGTGAGTTCAAGGCCAGCCTGGTCTACAGAGGTAGTTTTAGGACAGGCTTCAAAGCTACATAGAGAAACCCTGTCTCAAAAAACCAAAATACTAAAACAAAACAAAACAAAAAAACCTTTATGTGAGTATAAGCTAGCTTTAACTCTGTGTTTGTATACATGTGTGTATTCTATTACAAATTTTTTTTTCTTTCTTTGTCCTTCGCAAGTCTAAATCTGACCTGTTAAGTTAAAACCAGTTATAGTCAAGCTGGAGGACTCTGGATAAAACATCACTCCACAACCTCTCAGCGTGGATCCAGCTCTCCAGGCAGATCCTATTCTGTAGTCATAACTCAGATATACCCAACAGACAGCCCTCGATCAGAGAACTTGGAAATATGGCATTTAAATGTTTAATTAAAAACAGAGACAGGTTGGCTGCTAGTGCAACCCCCATTTCCTCCACCCCCTGCCATTTTCTCCAAAGAAGATAGGTGGGCACAGAAGACCCTCCAGCTGAAATTTGCTTCACACGTGAAAGCATTAGCCACTGAGCAAACCTGCCTTCACCTCAACTGCTGCAAAGACCTCTGCAGACCGTGGATGATGGACACTGGAATTGACTGCCTCATTGCCAGGGCAAGGTAAGCTGGTCTTCCTACTAACTCCTAACCCACAGGACCTTCTGGAGCCTGGCAGGGCCGTGTTGCCAGCTCTAAGACGGATGATGCCCTGAAGCCCCTGCCCTCAACAACTATGGAGGACCCCGGGGAACGGCTGTCAGGTACCAATCAAGTCGCTGTCATTTTTCTTAAAGCATTAACTCAGGTAAAAGTTTATCCTTCTCAAGAATTCTGATGCAGTTTGATGGCTGGTATGTTTGCCAGTTTAAAAGGGACAAACTCACAAAACAGATTTTAGGTGATGTCATAATGCTGGGGAAAGAACAGGGGCTTTAAGGTTTATTTATAAAAAGACATGAGAGCTTAAGATGTGAGGATCTACAAGTGCTTCAGGGTATAAGAAAGTGGTTTGTTTTGGTTTGGTGTTTTTGGTTTGGTTGTTTTGGTTTTTCGAGACAGGGTTTCTCTGTGTAACAGTCCTAGGTGTCCTGGAACTAGCTCTTGTAGACCAGGCTGTCTTTGAACTTACAGAAATTCATCTGCCTGTCTCTGCCTCCCGCGTGCTAGGATTAAAGGTGTGCGCCACCACTGCCCAGCATAAGAAAGTGTGTTAAGGTGTACAAATGCAAGTTATCAGATTTCTCTCTCATTGTGCTACTGGTCCTCGTCTTAACATTAATCAATAAAGTTCTAATGAGCTATCACTACAGCTCTGACAGAGTACTAAACACCACACTATACCACTGTCATCAGAGCCACAAGCTTCAGATTTTAAAATCCCTTCGGTCGTTTTCTAACTATAGACTTAAAAGATGCTTTTCATCATGCAAAAAACACACCTGTCACCATCATTTCTGGCATAAATATATACCACTTATACAATGTAAATTTCAGTAAAGATTATAAGCAGTGAAATGCTAACGTGTCGAAAACTTATGTTTTCACAAACTCAAAGAATTCTTGTAAGCTCCAGGGAGTCAACTTGGAGGATGCACCTTGAGCAGGTCAGATGCACCCCTCCTTCAGCTACCAGGCCTAAGTGTCCAAGCCTCCCCACCTTTCCCTGGTCCTGACATTCTCACTTTCAATCACCAGGACCTAAGGGAAAAAAAATTTTTTTCCCCTAAACTTAATCTTGTCCTCTGCTCTGCCAACCTCTCGTCAGGTCTAAGAGGCACCAGAGAGTTCCACAGAGTCTGAACAGCAGTGAAACAACCAGCTACCCCAGGCCGTGGCAACACCCCAGCTTTCTCAGGTTCCCCCCAGAGACAGTCGACATCCCCCAGGTCAGCAGGAAGCAGGCTCGACAACTTGATGCCCTCATACCCTTAACCTGCCATGCCTAGGGAGGAATGCTAGAATGGAGGCACACCTTGGCCCTGCCCCTTGGGAACCTGGCACAGTGTGTCACACCTCACCTCTCTGCTCATGGCAAGCAGTTCCCTGACTGCATGCAGATGCAAAGGTCCCTTTAAGAGACAAGCCCCGCTTACTCCCACCCTCTTCCCACAGGTCTTCTGAAGAGGCAAGCAGGCCTCTTCCTTTGTCTCTCTCTTCCCTCCCCTGTACCCTTTTCTCATTAACTCCACACTCAAGTTCTGTCTGCATGGTGTATCTGTCTCCCGTCTATGGCCCTCACTTGCCAAGGCCCTAACTGGCACCATATTCATAACAGAAGGGAACAAGGCCGGGCCTACCTGGCTGTATTCTTCCATGGTAGAAGGAGCGGCTGGCTCGGCTACCATCAGTCTGCAGCTCATCCTCAAAGTCTGCATCCGGGTAAACTTGCACGGGCAGTTCCTGACTTAGTGCCTCCAATTCTTGATTGAAATTATACTTGGAGTTTTGGAGAAAGCCAAACACCAGCAGGTTTGTGATGTGCTCAGCCTCCAGGCCTGAGCCATTGCTGACCTAAGATGAAAAGGGAGTCAGGAAGGCTCATAGAAGCCGGGGTCAGGACACAAGTGGACCCGAGGCTCACTGCCTCTAAGAACCCAAAAGCTCTAGCAGGAGGCCTACGGGCAGAGGCATATTCTGCTGCACCCTCCAACTAGCGCCACCTGTAGACACCAAGGGGCGATCTGGCCCCTTCTACAGAACTCCTCCTGAAAAGACCCTTCGAGGGGAAGCCGGGAAAATGTCACCATTGCAGTTCCGACCGTGTTTACATACAGAGCTGAGCCCGACTGCACTGGCTCTGTTCCCAGCGGCAAGCACTTCTCCACCATCCCCTTCATGAGCCCAGGATGGTCCTGGCAGGCAGAGGATGCTCAATAAACTCTAGGGAGTGCTGACCCAGGTCAGACTCTGCCTTTGCCCTAGCCTGTTCCACTTCATGGGGATGTGTGCATAACCAGAGAACCCCAGAGCGGGCAGAGAGGGTCTTGCTCACAGGCCTCTCTGTTCTTCACTGCAGCCTTACGGTGTCCAAAAGCAGCATTGGGGAGGAGCACTGAGAAGAGGGAGGAGCACTGGGGAAGAGCATTGGGGAGAACATTGGGAAGCAGCACTGGGGAGGAGCAGTGGGGAGGAGCACGGGGGAGGAGCACTAAGACAGCAATGCCTGTACCATGAGGCCCTGCAGTACAAGAAAGCTTAGAAATAAAACCTGGGTCACTTAACATCCTTCAATTTGCATTTAATAGATATAGTAAATGCTAACTTTATGTTATTTTACTATAAAATGCTGGAATAAAAAATTCAAAAAGTCAGAAACATCTACAATAAAGTATTATTGTATTTTGGGGAGGTCAAATATCAAGATAAAGAGAAAATGTCAGCATTTCACTATGTCCTCAATCTGCAGGCACCAGGCAAGCTACTTACTTCTGTGTCTCAGCCTCCCTACCCAAAAGTAAACAGGAAGTGATGACAGCAGGAAGCCCTCACCTACCCTTGCCCCAGGGGAGGGACACAGCAGGGAGCCACTCTCTAGGGCCCACAGGACAACAGCCCCGATTTGCAGATTGTGGCTGACTGGAAGGGGAGGCTCGGACACTTCTGCCCACAGCCAGCTCAGTCCCTGACTGCCCAGGTCTCTTCTGCTCACACAACTAGTCTGGGCTGTCCTTGCCATGTCTACCAGTCTGACAGGCATGCCACTCCATCCAGTCCCCATCCCCCACCGAGCCGCTGTGGGCGCCAATGGAGACCAATTCTGCTGGATATGAGGTGTGTCTCTGCAGACCTGTCAAGCGAGGATCATGCTGCATCCCTCACAGGGACGTCCAGGAAGAACAAAAAGAAAAGATGCTAGAATCTAACCTGAGAGTCCATGGTACAATCTGTGCAGCTCCAACCGCTGCTGACTCACAGAGTCCGGGAAACAACCTGAAAGAGGACATACAGATGGTGTAGGTGGCTGTTGCCCGAAGCAATGCCCCTGTGGGGCCCCATCAGGTGGCAGGACGCTACCACACCTGCAGCTGAGGTCATGCCCACCCACCATCACTGGCTCTCAGCCAGGGCTCCTTTGTTTGCCCTCCACACAGAACCAGAGCAGCAATCCAGTTAGTCAGGTCTGCAGTCTTCCGCCTTATACCCTCAGCGGGTGGTCTACTGGGCACCCCAGGCCAGTTCCCCAGAGTTCAGCTTTGCTACCCACACTCAGGAAGACTAATCAGACCAACCAGCACGTCCCACACGAATTCCTATAGTGAGTTTCCCAACTCGTCACGCACACCTGCAAGATTGCAGGGCATCGACCTTACAGGGTCAGGGCCTCCCAACACCACCGACCCATTTCCTCTTTCTACCCCACAATGAGGCAGATCAGTGTGCATTCCAACTTAATGGGAAGAAAATACAGCTTGGAGGATTAGAGGATTATTTTTGAGCTGGCTAGACAGCTTGGCTGGTAAGATGTGCCTGTCACTCAAGCCTTCTGACCGAACCAGTCACTGAAGAACTGAATTTAAGAAGTATGTCCAGCTGGGCAGTGGTGGCGCACGCCTTTAATCCCAGCACTCGGGAGGCAGAGATAGGTGGATCCGAGTTCTAGGCCAACCTGGTCTACAGAGCAAGTTCCTGGACAACCAGGGCTACACAGAGGAATCGTGTCTCAAAAACACACACACACATCAAAAAACAAAAACAAACAAACAAAAAAAAACAAAAACCAAAGTTTCGGTAATACTTGAACTGTTCAAAATGTTAATAAAAGTTTTGTTGCATAAGTCTGTCTGTTCACGGTATACACTGTTCCTGAAAATGCACATGACTGTGGCTACTATGGAAAGCAGTGTGGAGGGTCCTCAAAAAGCTGGAACCTGGAGCAGGCCAGAATGAGCTTGCCAGCAGCCAGCTGACCGGGTGCCAGCCTGGAATGGTGTGAAAGGTGGGCGGAGGACGATTCCAGGTCCTCTGACCTTCACGCCCATGTGTCCTGTCCCCACCACATCCACACAACAATAAACGAAACAATTTATTTTAAGAAATCACCTTGTTTGACATTTCCAGTTACATCCAGCAGACTTAGACACAGGTGTGAAAGCATTCAGCAAGACCTCATGGTGGTCATGGCTGTCGTCACTGTCAGAGCGGAGGCCACTTCCTTCAGAAGCCACTAGCTGGAGGGCTGTGGGCAGGAGAGCTGTGTTTCTGGGCCAGATGTGTCACGAGTGAGACGAACAGGCAACCGCTCACACGGGTCTGCTCAGCCACCACCTCACTTTCCTGGGACCCCAAGGGTTTCTCTTGTCCCACGGAAGCCAAATGTCCTGACGTAGCTGAGCCCCCACTTCCACACACCAGAAGTGCAGACACAGACCACACAAGGCGGGAAGAAGGCGAGGCAAGTTCAGTGCAGTTACCACAGGGGTAGGTGTCCTTACGGCCTGCGTGCCCCCTGCTGACGTTTATCTACACAGCTAACCGACAGAACTGTATAAACACACGGAGAAAGTCACAGCCTACTGTAACCACCCACCCACTCAGAGTAGAGCACAGAACGCCACCAAGACACGAGCTAGAGATGAATGCCCAAGAAATAACCAGAAGAATGTATCGCGCTCCCATCTTTTAAAAATTCTTTTCTTTTTTCTTTTATATGCGTAGGTATTTTGTCACAGGTGTTGGGTCCCCTGGAAAAGCAGTCAGTGCTCTTAACCACTGAGTCACCTCTCCGGCCCGAGTTCTCCATCTTCTTAAATGAACAAATGTTAATACGTAACTCACCAATAGAAACAACAACACAGTGCCATATTAAAACTGCTCAAGGCGGGAGATGCAGCTCTGTGGGCAGGGTGCTTCCTCACGTGCACGAAGTCCTGGGTTACCAGGTGTGATGGCACACACCTGCAACCCCAGCACTCAGGAAGTAGAGCAGGAGACAGCAGACATTCAAGGTCAGGGCTGGAGAGATGGCTCAGCAGTTGAGAGCACTGACTGCTCTTCCAAAGGACCCAGATTCAATTTCCAGCACCCACATGCCAGCTCACAGCTGTCTGTAACTCCAAGATCTGACACCCTCACATGAGCACACATGTAGGCAAAACGCCAATGCACATAAAATAAGTATTTAAAAAGAAGTTGTTCAAGGTCATCCTCTGCTACACCACAGCTGGACCAGGCTGGGCTACATTTTACCTTGTCTCCATAAAAACAAGTAAATAAATAAATAAAAATAATTCAAGAGTCAAAGAACAGCATGCACAGATGGTGGGAAATAGAAGAATTTGGAGCCATCTGCAAGATTGCCAGTAGCTGAAAGGCAACGGCTGCATTCCTCTGCATTAATATCTATAGTCTACAGAGTTGCAATAACATAAAGGGTATGACGCTTAAAATGCCCAACTATGGGTGTGTAGCGCAGAGATTCAACAGTGCCTAGCATGCCTGTGGGCCTGGGCTTGACCCTTACAACCTGAAAACAAAGTATGTTTGAAGGGACTGGCTGGAAACTGGAGAGATGATTTAGTAGTTAGGAGTGCTTATTACTCTTCCAGAGGACCCAAGTTCGGTTCCCAGAACCCATGTCAGGTGGTTCATAACCACCTGTAACTCCAGCTCCAGGGGGATCTGATGTCCTATTCTAGCCTCTGTGGGCAATACACTCGTGTACGCACGCACAGACACATACACATAGAGACATACACATACACGCATATACAAACACACACAGATATACACAGACAAATATGCACACATATACAGAGAGACACACACATATACAGACACATACACACATACAAACACACACAGATACACACAAAAGGGGGCTTAACAAATGGCTCAGTGTTAAGTACTCTGGTTGTCCCATCAGAAGACCTGGGTTCAGTTCCCAGAATTCATCTCTCCAGCCCTCCCTTCTTTTTCTTTTTACCAGACAAATAGCCAAATCTGAGGTTTTCTAGGGTTACCCAACATAGCTTCAGATGTAAAGATCTCGAAAGGGCTGAGAACAACGCTTGATGGTAGAACATCTGCCTACGTGAACAAGGCCCTCCCTGAGAATTCCATTCCCAGCAAGCAAAATATAAACAAGTAAATAAAGTTGTTTTTTTCCCCCTAAATCTAGGGTCTAATTTTAGAAGACAATAAACATCAAGTGTTGTCAGAAGCATGAGGCTGCAGGACAGCAGATTAGAGCAGGACCTCAGGCCTCCACCCGAGAGCAGACTTGGTTATCCATTAATGACACAAACCTCGCCTGTTTCATAAGCAGTGAGCTTTGTTCAGTCGTGTGTCCCCCCCCCCCCCCCCGCCTCACCCTCACCACCGACTAAAAAGTCAGTCAACACAGCAGCCAAAGTCACTCTGCTATCTGGAGTCATTGCGATCAGGCAGGGTACATGGCAGTAGAGAGGAGCCCTTGAGAGGCAGCCACGCCAGCAGCAGGCCAGGCTGACACTGAACTGCTCCACAGTCCCTTCAGACACGGGCATTATAAACCACAACAATAAAGTTCATTTCCCAACTTCTGGACTCCACTTTCTTTTCAAATTCTGATGTAAACTAGAAAAAAAATCACTTTAAAAATGTATTATTGGTGCGTGTGCACTTCCTGCAAGAGCTCACAGGTGAGCATGATGGGGTGGCGTGTGTCGCAGCATGTGTGGAGGTCAGAGGCCAATTCTGTGGAGTCAGTAATCTCTTTATATTTCTATATAAGCTCAAAGGATCAAACTGCAGGTCACCAGGCTTGTCAGGCAAATGTTTTACCCACTGAGACGTCACTTTCAGGTCCAGGAAATCCCAGAGAGACCCTTTCCAAAGACCAGTGAGAGGCATAACTGACTCCGTATGCCTGGTTCAGTGGTGTGGACTTACAGTCCCAGAGACTGGGGAGGCTGAGGCAGGAGGATCACTTGAGCTCCAGAGTTGGACCAGAATGGGGAACACAGCAGGGCAAAACATAAGAGACACCCTGAGGATCATCCTATTAAGTAAGAAAACACAGCAAATGATCAAAAGACATTGATGTGAGATGTCCTTCAGTATAAGTGTTGCTTTTATTGGTTGATGAATAAAACTGTTTTGGCCAATGGCTTAGCAGAGTAAAGTCAGGAGAGAAATCCAAAGAGAGATATAGAGAGAGAGTAGGCAGAGTCAAGGAGAGATGCCATGTAGCTGCCGAAGGAGAAGGATGCCAGAACCTACTGGTAAGCCACAGCCTTGTGGCAATACACAGATTAATAGAAATGGGTTAATTTAAGATATAAGAGTTAGCTAGGATTATGCCTAAGCCATTGGCCAAATAGAGTCTTAATTAATATAGTTTCTGTGTGATTATTTGGGTCTGGGAGGCAGGAACAAACAAGCAGTCTCTAATTACAAGACATTTTATATGTATGTATGTATGAAATTATCAAAAAAAATTTTTTTTGAGGCATTAGCTAGCCTGGATCTGGCTAGCTAGACCAGTCTGGCCTCTAACTCAGAGATCTACCTGTCTCTGCCTCCTGAACTCTGGTATTAAAGGTGTGTACCACCATGCCTGGCCATAAATAAATAAAATAAAAATACATAAATTGTTTAAATATTTTTCAGGAGCCAGGTGTGGTGGTTCATACTTTTAATCCCAGTACTCGGGTGGCAAAGGCAGGTGGATATATGAGTTTGAGGCAGCCTGGTCTACAGAGTGAGTTCAGACAGACAAAGCAACATAGAGAGACCCCTGTCTCAAACAACGAGAAGAAGTGGTTTTTTGTTTTGTTTTGTTGCTGTTATTTGTTTCAGGACAAAGTCACACAGTAAGACCCGGTTTTAAAAAAGAAATAAATTAAGTTTCAGGGACTGGGGAGATGTCTCATTGGTTATGCCCTTGCCACACAAGTGTGAGCATCTGAGTCTGGATGCCCAGAATCCACCTAAAGCTGGTGGGTGTGACA